ACTATTATTTAATTTAGGAACAGTTAGTCATTAGAAATGTTATGTTATAAATTTTATAATAAACGTAATAAAGGGCGCATAATACCAAGTATTGCCGCATAAATCTGGAAATCTCAACCCACGTCCCCATATAATTTTATTGATCGGCAGTTTTCATTTATAGTAAGCCATGCATGGGTTTTGATTTATAATTATCAACAAAATTGCCCTGAGACCATAACGTTTATTAAGAAATTTGTTCAACGTGGAATCATTACAAATAAAAAAAAAATTATATTCCAAATAGTTTTGTGTTATGAACAATTATTTGTTTGCGGGAAGGAATAATTGATAATCGGATGAATAATTTGTAGCAAATAGATTTTCAAGTCAAAACTTGTTAGATATATTTATACATTGAATCTCATACTCCTTTTCTAATTAGAATTACGGATAACATTAATATAATAATAATAGTAATAGTAATAGTAGCATAACGTTCCGCAAAGTTATTGAGATGAAATATACAAGTTTAGAAAATAAATAATAAATCATTAATTTGCTATTAATCATTCAACAATCTTCTTGATAAAAAACATACCAATATTTTATATAGTAAATCTTTTGTATTAAAAAAAATTGTTAAAAATTTTTACAAATGTAAAAATTAGTGAATTATTATAATTAAATCAATTGTTAATTTAATTTTGTTTTCTAACGTTATTGCAAACTTTAGGGCCAAGTTATACATTTAAACTTAATTTGGTTTGGATCAAATCATATAATGAACAGGAATTTTTGTTATTCACTAATTATTTTTATTTTATATATATATATAATAGTACTGTTATTCTATATATATATTAATATTAAGTCCTCACTAATAAAATTTTTAGGTTCTCATCACCCGCCGGGTTAATTTGAAAAATTTATTTACGTCACCTTATATACTATCAATATATAGCAAAATTGTGTCATACGGCAAACGGTTTGTTTCTTATAACTACTCATTGCAATTGTGCATGCAATACTTTTGCAAGGTGAGGAGAGGCAAAAATTTTAAAAATTCGTAGTAATGCGAATAATTCGTTGAAACGAGGTTTGACTGTAATAAACTTCACAATATTTGCTTAGATATTTGCGGAGAATTAAAACGAAATGTAAAAAGTTTTTATTATTATTGAATTGAGCTAGAGCTCTATTCGTAATACAATTCTTATTCGAATACATCTCGATTAATTGTTTTATTAGGTTTTTTATTCGTTTTATTCATTTTATTCGATTTGTTCGTTTCGTTCGTTTTATTCGATTTACTCGTTCGTTCGTTGTTCGATTTATTCGATTTATTCGATTTATTCGTTCGTTTTGTTTGTTTTATTCGCTTTGTTCGATTTATTTGTTCGTTTTGTTCGATTTATTCGAATAGAAACTCTAAGTTGAGCAGGCTCGAGTTGAAATTTGAGATTTCAAGTTTGAGCTGAGTTCAAGAAAATGGTTCTTAAAATTTTTTTTTAGATAATAAAATAAAATAAAAGTAGAATTAATCATTCATTACCTTAAAAAAATTTGTATAACATCAAACTCGAGCCGGCTCAGCTCATTTAGAGCTTTATTGATAGTTAATAGTTTTGTAGTGTTATTTGATTTATAAGATGTATTTTGTTTCAGGCCAAAGTCTTTTGTTATTATTTCTTTGTTCAAGATAATGATAACTTACAAATAAAGCGAATTTTAGTTGTTTATATACATGTTTGTTAATTATAAAATGACTGAATCGGCATTGAAGGACTCAAAAATTTTGAGAATGTCTTGAAAGATTTAATTATTCCTACACGATTCAATCGTTTGCGCGCAACTTTATTTGAATGTTTCACGGGATCCAATCGTTCCACGCAGATAAAATTATCGATAACCTCAGGCTTCTACCAGCTATATGTAACAATAGAATACAGTCCAACCTCGTTTCAACGAATCTATGGGACACATAAGAAAATTGCATTTAAAATTCGTTATACTAAAATTACTAATCGTGTTTAATTATAATTTGTTGAAATAAGGTTTGATTTCAATTGATAAGAATAAATAAAGTGCACGGCGAATGATAAATATAATTAAAAAGAATATGGATATAGCTATTATAGTAGATAAAATTAAAGTGAACGTGTGTAACCTTTAAGAATTGTGATGTCCCACTTGAAATTACGAGTTTTGATTGGACGATTAAAATTATTCAAGCGGAAGATTTATAATCATTATCAATAATTGTTTAATTAATGTAAAAAATTATTCGTCTATTTTCTTCAATAAATCAAATAAATTCGTTCTTGTTATCAGGTAGGTTCTATGTAATCACTGACAGAAATATTTTTTTTTTCTTTAATTCAAATATATTCTTATTATTAAACGATAAACTAATTGTATCACATATAAAGTTGCAACAATAAGTTTGTTTATTTCTGCCAGTGATTACATAGTAATAAGATCTACCTGATAAAATCGGTTTATCATATATTCATTTTTATCAAACATCGTCTTAACAAGTTAGTTCTGACTGTACACATATAGAGATATATTTAAAAAAAAAAAGATCTTTCTAGAAAGTACAATTTATGAAGTTTGTTGTCATCAATTTTTTCCTTCTCTTTAATTTTGAAATGTTCTCGGGATTATTTTATTATTATTTTGTTGTCATTTTCTTTATTTTCATTTTATTAACATTTTTATGTACTTATTTTTTTAGTTGGAGCTTTTGTGGGCTTTTCTTGGAAATTCGCTAAGCTTTTACATTGTTTTATTATTATATTGTTATATTGTTATATCGTTCACATTTTTCATCGTTTCTTTTTATATAAAATTTGTTTTTGTATTTCTTTCGATCCTCTTGGCCAGAATTGACCCTTCCTTGCTTTTCTCTTGTCAGTCTCTCTTTTCTCTCAGTAAAAGAAGAACTGTGGACCAACACCCTTTTGAACTCCTTTTAATACCCATTTCCTTAATCACCGGATCCTAACATTAATTTATGAATTTTTAAATCTTCCCTTTCTTCTGGTTCCAAATTTTTGTTCGATTATCCGTTTTCTTTTCTTATTACTAGTTTCTTCCAGTTTATCGGAAAGAATTGTCTTGTTAGTGGCTGGTGGCCGTTATTTGGTAGGTTTTATAATATTTCACAATCCCGAGAAACATGAATTTGTAACAAGTATAATGATACTATGAGTATTAAAGTAAATTTTGAAATGTTGATATTTATTGATTCGTATTTATTGATTTTTATGACAATTATTACTGTTATTGCTATTATGGTTATTATTATAACCATTATTATGTGGGAGAGCGAAATAATTGATAAATTGAATGGATCAGGTTAAATATAAGACTTTACCAGCGAATGGTTTTTAGGTTTTATTTAATATGGGTTTATCAAGTCGAAAATTTGTTCTCAAGCCAAGACTTGTTTTTCTTTGCGATAGCGTGTAACAATTTTGTTCTTGTTATCAGGTAGGTCCGACGTATTACTGGCAGAGATATTTTTTTTTTTAATTCAAATATATTCTTATTATTAAACGATAAACTTATTATATCACATGATTATAATATAAAGTTGCAAAAAATAAGTTTGATTATTTCTGTCAGTGATTACATAGTAATAGGACTTACCTGATACATAGAATTATTGATATACTGTAGGAGTTGATTTAAGTCTAAATATAAAATTTAAATTAAAATTAGTTTTTAATATTCAAATGTTTATTTTATTAGAGTTGCCTTTCAAACTCAAAAGATTAAATTAAGTTGAAACTAGCTTAGAGAGTTTAAAATGGCAATTATACATATTATACAAATAATATAAAAATTACACAATTATTGATGAGAGGAATCCAAACTTGAGGTTGGCAATGGATCATTGGAAAGCAAATCAAGAGAAACGACGCTGTAAAGTTTGAGATATTGTCAATTAGTGTGTACCCATTTTAATTGTAACAATTTATATGATATCCATCATGCAGTCCATATTAATATTACACCACAAAATTGTATGAATTGGATTATCTGTTATAGTTATCCACTGCAAACCGGTTTTGCGGTTTTATTACAACTGGTTCCAATTTTGGAAAAGTGTTTAAAGCAGGTTCTTGTGAATAAAACCGGATCCAACCTCAGGGGCAGCGATGGACGTTTGACTGTTATATACAACGGGCATTAAACTTATTTTATTAAAAATCTCCATTTCATTGATAACTATCTCCTTATGAATTCTCTCGCGTAAACTGCTTCAACATTATTGTTATCGGACTGTTGGATCATCCAAAAATGTAAAATAGTTTTTTACAATATTACAAAGTTTAAAGATTTAAAAGATGTATAATAACAATTATACCGATGTAAAATGAGAGATTTTTTATCATTTCTTGAATTACGGTTAAAAAATTTATTTGATAAAAGTTATTAATAAGAATAAATTCTTAATTTAATATAAGTCTCTAATTTTCTTTACTAATTTATATACCTTTATATTCTTCTAACGACTGACACCATTATCATGTCTAAGATTCGTAGGAATGACCAAGAAAATAAGTATAATTACTGGTAATTAGTGCCAAATCACAAATATTTACAGATACTTCATTAAATGTCATATTATCTAATGTAAATTTAAAATTTTGACCATTACGAATCATTATTCATTCAGGTTTTTCGACTTTAAAAATAAAAAATAAAACAATTGTTTCAATTCACATGTTTTTTTAATTTTTATTGACAATACAGTTTATTCAATATTATATAGCGCTTGTTCTCAAAGAAAGTCGTCATTTTGATCACTACAACCAGAAATTAATGATTTTAAATCGAAATTTGACAAGTTTCTTGTTGTTTTAGTCTTTCGAAGAAATTAAAATCATAAAATAAGACTTGGAATTACTGCTACTGATATTATTATGACAAATGCCGCTATTATCTTTACCGCTATTATAATGATATTTTCTTATTTGTATTTGTATTGTTTCTTTAAACTTTCAATCATGACAGTTTTTGCCGAAGAACTTAATATTAAGGATCCATACGAGTGATTATTTTTTTTCTTTGCTTATTTTAGAATCATTTGAATGAACATTGAAATATTTATTTTTATTTCATGAGGTAATTTAATTTTCATATCAGTCGCAGGACATTGCAGATCTACAGGGGGTCAAGTGTCACTCACTAATAAAAATTTTTTGATCAACACGAATTTTATATGAAAAAATGAAGAAAAAAATCACGCTTTCATACACAAACTTGCCTGATTTAATCAAATTGTTACTTGAATCATAAAAAATAACAAATATA